AGACAGAGCTCGCGCGCGCCGGCACCCCCCCCAGCCAGTGCCACCAGCAGCTCAGTGGCCGCCCTGCGACTCCGTTCTCCCGAAGGCTCAAATTCCAGCCGTAGGTTTTGAACGTGGTCCAGGCAGGTGGACAGATATGGTGGCAGCGTGCCTTCCCACTCATCGTCAAAGCTGGGGTTGAAGTGATGCAGAAAAAGCATCAGCAGAGTCCCTGAAAGGGGGTAAAAAAGCCTCTACCCACCCCTCAGCTGCCACACCCACTGGCTGGTCCCTACTCACACACTTCCCTGCCAGACGAAGCCTGTTACTCCAAGGTAGCTGCTGATGGCAGGAGGGAACTTTCGTTCAAGCCCCCCCCCCTCCCCCGCCACACACACACTTTTTTAAGAGAGAGAGAGACAGAAAGCAAGAAATTACCCCCCAGGAGGACTGGCCGCGCCAAGGATCCCTTCTCCTCCATTCTCCTCTCGGCATTTTGGCGGGCGTGAGTTTTAAGCCCCGCGTCCGAGGTGTGAACTCCAGTCAAATACGTGGAAATCCAACGCAGAAACCACTGCGCCATCTGCTGGTCCCCGTCCTAACCCTGCTACAGAGTGAAACCCTGGCATGGAGAGCCAATGGTATTTTCTTGGGCTTTCTCAGCCTCTCTGAGGAGGTGAGGCATGGCCTCTGGCCCGCCACTCACTAGCTTAGTGACCTGCAGGAAGTGATTACCTCTCCCTGACTCAGTTTCTTATTTGTGCAATGAAAAGACTAATACCACCTATTACGCAAAGTTTTCATGAGGACTAAATGAGTTAAGATACATAAGGCACATAGAACAATGGCAGGTACATAGCAGGCAGTGCATAAATGTTCATAATTATCCTTTTATAAAATATTTTAAAATAATTTAAATTTAATTTTATTATATTATTATTTTTTAAACTTGCTATAGGGCACATGCACTCATCAGAGAGAGAGAGAGAAAGAGAGAGAGGGAGAGAGAAAGAGAAAGAGAGTGAGAAAGCAAGCCGCCCGAGTATAGAGTACAGGACTTGAGCCATGGTCAGCCTTGTGGGAGTCCAGCATCTCAACCACCACGCCACCTGCTGGTCCCAGTAATTATCCTTTTTAATAATGGGAAGCTTCTAAATCTAACTCCCAACTCCACGGTGAGTGCAAGAAGGCTAGTAGGCAGCGGGAGGGGGAGGAATTGGCTCACCTGATGCTCGTGTCATGCCATACGGAGCTGCAGGTGGCAGCCGCAGCCCAGGACTTGCAAACCTGGGCAGCCATGGCACGGTCCTTCAGGGGCAAGTGGCAGAAAATAAAAACCAGCACCTCCTCTGGTAGTTGCTTCCCAGGATCAGCCATGGTCTGGCTTGGGGTGGAGAGCTCTGCCACTCCCAGCAGCTCTGGTCTGCAGGGAGAGGTACATTCCTGGACTTAGGAAGGCCAAAGTCATGAGAGAACAACGCACCTGGGTGTACAAATACTTGTGACTTGGGAGAAGCTAAATAATTTGTCCAGCCCAGTGCAAAATGGAAATATGCGGGCCCCTGTTCACATTAAGAATTTCAAGATGGCATAACGTTTTTTCTTTATTTATTTATAAGGTTTTGTCCATAGGGCATGTGTGCTCGCTAGAGAGGAGAGAGACAGGGAAAGTGAGCAATCACACCCAGGGTGGGTGGCCACACTGCAACACCTTAAGTGCCCTGTGTGTCTCTCAAGCCACAGACACGCCTCTGGTCCAGGACTCCAACCTCAGTCAACCACGTGGGAATCCAGCCACCTTAACCACCACACCACCTGCTGGCCCCCAGCAGTAGACCTTTTAATCAAATATTAAACCAAGTGTGGAGCCTTGCCCAACAACTGTCCAGGTCTCAGACCTGTGAAGTCAACTTGGATGCCAAAACATTTCTGGATCTCCTCTTAACTAGTATTTTCTCACTTGTTGAACAAATCCACATTTTATGCTCTACTGGAAGGAATAGGAACCAAGATCTAAGCCGGAGGTTGCAAAACTTCCCTGGGGAAGTTGGAGGGTGGCAACAAGGGCCCTGTCTCAAGACAACCCTATTCCCTAGCTCACAACCCACCTCCCTTTGCCTCTCTACAAACTCAGTCAGAAGCTGCCCCCAACGGCCCAAACTAATCTTCCAGGGATGGCTGAGTTGCTACACTCCCGACTCCTAAGAGGACCAGGGAGGAACTGAGGGCCTCTCCGATTGCTTGAGGGGGTCAGAATAACTCAGACACTTAATACAGATTCCACGGCCCCACCTACTAAATCAGGCCCTCCGGAAAGAGCAGAGCCCAGGAATTTGCATTTCACCAAGTTCCAGGCGACCCGTGGGGATTCAAGTTGAGAAACTCGGTCCTTGCCTGGTGGGTCACTAGAAAGTAACTGCAAGGGTTAATAAGGCGGGAAAGTTAGTGAAGACTTTGCCTTGTCTGGGACCATGAGCCAATCAGAAAGCCGGGGAGCGGGCGGGGCACACTGGGTCCGCCCTTAGAGGGGAGGCTCCTTCCCTGCCTTTGCAGGGCGCAGAGCGAAGTTCTGGGCGTTTCCTATGACTGGCTCGCTGGGCGGAGAAAAGCTTGAGTTTGTGAGGCCTGACGGCTTTGGCGCCCTAGGGGCTCTGGGCTGAACTTTGGTTGCTGACTCTTTAGTAGCTCTGGCTCCCGCCGGGCAATGTAGGTTCGGCTGAAACTCCGCAGACCTACCCCAGAGGTCAGTTTTCAGAAGGGGTATGCGGTTTTTGGAAAGTAAGTGTGAGTCCTTTATGAAGTTGTCAGCTTGGTTTTGAAGTGCCCGAAGGTTTGCGTACACAACGTTTTACGCCACTTGCCAGTTAATTTTCCCACACCTTCCATGTATCCTTGGGTTTCAGGTATCCCTGGTCAGGCTTGTACCTGGAACCCATCGGAGCAGCCCCTAGGTCTGGCTAGGTGGGCAGGGACAGCCTGCAGTGTGGGCGTAAAACCTTGAGCAGGCAGGTGCGCTGGCAGTTAGGGAGTGTGCTTGGGAGTAGCAGAGATCAAGCCGGATCACCAGGGAGCACCCCCTAGCTGATCGTCCATTTCCTGCTGGAGGAAATCTGGTCGCCCTCGTTTTGGGGCCCTGCGGCCTCATAAGAACAGCAAGTCCCCAAATTCCCGTTCCATAGGCAGTTTTTACTTCCATCTCACCGTGGACGTCGGTGTCTTACCTGCTCAGCGGACCTGGCAGGCTTTATCCTAAGGCAGGGGACTGGCAGCCGAGGACAGTGGGGCGGGACGCGCGGAGGGCTGGGCGGCTCGGACTAGGGCACCGCCCCAGCGCCTCCGCGCACACCCGGAAGCGGCGCGAGTGAACCGAGCCTGGCGGGCGTGGGAACCCAGGCCCGGCCGACGCTGCCAGGTTAGTGCTAAAGGTGGGTGGGCTTCGGGTGCGGCTGGAGCGGAAGTGGATCCTTGCTCCGGAGCGTCAGTGCAGCGCGGCTTATACCCGTGGCTGCCGGGCCAGCTGGTGGCAGCGGCCTATTGGGCTTTCCGTGGGGGGCTGGGTGACGGGGTATGAAACTTGTCTCCCCACCCCCGAAAGTCGCTTGTCCTAGCTAAGGGCTGTCGAGGAGTAGCATGGCCCTGCAGCGGAGAGGGCAGAGTGATGTGTGGTCGTGGTTCTTAATAGTTACGTGAGCGGACACTCCCTGTCCTCCCCAGATGGGCTGGTCACACCGTGATCCCCATGTACCCCAGCAGGAGGATGGGGCTCCGAGGAAACCCCTCGGGAGCTCCAGAGCCAAGCAGCTGGCCAGGCTTTTTCTTTGGGCCACACCTAAGGCTGTCCCTGCCCACCCAGCCGGACGTGCGGCTACTCTGGGACTGTTAGGTGTTCACGGGGCGCCGCGCCTGGCTAGCCCCAGGTTTTAGGGACGGATGTCCCTAGGTCAGTACCCAAGTGTCCCAGGTAGTCTCCGCCCACCTAGTGCTCCCCAGATCTGTTATAGCTTGAAAGCCTCAGTCAGCTCCTGGAAGAGGGGGGTACTCCGGGTGGGTGGGGCGCGGGGCTTCCCGAGGAGAGGCTTCTGTGGAAGGACACTTTGGCTTCTGTGGAAGGACACTTTGGCAGGAGTTCCCAAGGGCTGTCCTCTTCTCTGCCATTAACTGACCTCTGGACCGGTAGCCTGGCAGACTCTCCTCCATTGTCCAGCTCTAGTGAGCGTGTTGGAGCAGCCTTTCATCTCCGGGTGTCCAGTGCCCCCTGGCAGGCCTGATGGGCAGACACTGGTGCGTTGGGCCCCTACTTCCACCCTTGTGGTGGGGTGAGACCACATCCAGCCAGCCAGCTCTCCCGGCAGGGGGCTAGAAGAAGTGAAAGAGGAAACGTTTTCAGGGGAGGTTCCTGCTCTCCCATCCCCCAGTTTCCCAGCACTCTCCACTAGTCTGGTGCCTTGGACAGCGCCTCCCTGTCTTGGTCCCACTTGTCACCTGCAGTTTTTCATCTCGTTTTTGTTTTGTTTTGCTTTCTTTAGAGTTTTTTCCCTTATTCATGACTGAGCGTGAGAGAGAGAGAAAGAGAGAGAGGAAGAGAGAAAGAGAGGAATGCCATTGACGGGCTGGTCACACTGTGATCAGCTTTTTCCAGTCCTCCTGCCGTGGATCCTGGGCAATGTCACTGGTGTGTGGCATGTTTCAGGCTGACTGGGCCAGGATTCCAACCACTGTGGCCAGGTGGGACACAACTTCTCTTGGGTAGTGTATCACCTCTGCTTCACATGGCTGGTCTTTATGTTTTTTTTTTGTTTGTTTTTGTTTTTCCTTTGGAGAGGTTTTTGCTATAGGATGCGTGCACTCACCAGAAAGACAGAGAGAGACAGAGAGACAGAAAGGGAGAAATCACCCCCCAGAGGGGATGGCCACACCACAATCCCTTCTTCTCCATTCTCTTCTCAGGATCTTGGGCACGCACGCACATGTGTCCAGTGTGAGGAAGGCACAGAGTCTGGGACTCAAACCACGGTCGACTACACGGGAGTCCAGCAACATAGCCATTACACCAACTGCTGGTTCCCAATCTTTATGTATTTTTAAGAGAGATTTTTGCTATAGGGCACATGCGCTTGCAGGACAGACAGAGAAAGCAAGAAATCACCCTCCAGGGGAGATGGCCACACCATAATCCCTTCTCTTCCATTCTCCTCTTGGGATTTTGGGCACACCCGCACATCCCCCCGACGTGAGTTTAAGCCACTGGGTCTGGGACTCCTGAACCATGGTCAACTATGTGGGAGTCCAGCGATGTAACCATTATGCCACCTACTGGTCCCTTTATTTGGCTTTTTAAGGAAGACTGATTTGGGCCAGCAGGTGGCATGGAGGTTAAGAGGGCTGGATCCCATGTGGCCATCTGCAAGGTTGGGTCCTAGTCCTGGCAGCTTGAGAAAAACACTGGGTGTATGTGCCAGTGTGCCCAAAATCCCAAGAGGAGAATGAAGGAGAAGAGACTGTGGCATGGCCATTGCCCCCAGGGGTTCTCTCTCCAGGGAACACACATGTCCTCTAGCAAAAACTAACTAGCTAACTAAATTAAAAAGACAAATCTATTTTGTTTTTTCTTCTTCTTCTTCTTTCTTTTTGGGGAGGGGGAGAGGTTTTTGCTATAGGGTCCGTGCGCTCACCAGAGAGACAGAGAGAGACAGAGACAGCGAGAAATCACTCCCTGGGGGGATGGCCATGCTGCAATCCCTTTTCCTCCATTCTCCTCTTGGGATCTTGGGCATGCGCACACATGTGCCTGTTGCGAGTTTAAGCCACCAGGTCCAGGACTCAAATGGTTGACTACATGGGAGTCCAGTGACATAGCCATTACTCCAACTGCTGGTCCCGCCTTTTTTTTTTTTTTTTTTTTTAAGATTTTTGCCAATGTACTTGGTGGAGAGATAGAAAGTGAGAAGTAACTCCCCTTCCTTCCCAAAGGGGATGACCACACTGTAATCCCTTCTCCTCAGTGCTTCTCTTGGGCACACACACATTTGTGCCCAGTGTGTTTCTCAAGCCACCATGTCTGGGACTTGAACTGGGCAAGTGAACATTCTGGGTCTACTTTGCTTTTTTAATACAAAGGATATGTGTTTATTTATATATTGTAAAAAATATTGCTAAATACAAAGATCAAAATTACCCCAAATCTTCCCTACCCACCCACTCCCATCTCCCCCATGTCCTGCCCAGAGATAACACAATGTTAGTTTGCTATGAGTTTTCAGACTGTTTTTTTGGTTTGTTTGTTTGAGAGGTTTTTGCTATAGGGCACGTGCACTCGCCAGAAAGACAGAGAGAGACAGAGAGATAGAGCGCGAGACATCACCCCCCAGGGGGGATGGCCACGCTGCAATCCCTTCTCCTCTATTCTCTTCTCGGGATTTTGGGCACGCATACACACGTGCCCAGCGTGAGTTTAAGCCACTGGGTCCAGGACTCAAACTGTGGTCGGCTACATGTGAGTTCATCAACATAGCCATTATGCTAACTACTGGTCCCCAGAATGTTGTTTTGTGTAAACATACCGAGGTCATGGCCAGGGTAGGGCTATCACCAGGTAACATTTCTCCTGCCAGGAGCCTTTGTTCACTTTCTGTCCCAGCTTTGGCACTCAGGTTCAGCTCTGTCTGGGTGCAGATCTGAATTGCAGCCTCTACTAAGAGTTATAATCTCTACTCCCTCCCCAAAGAGAGCCAAATCTGGGCCCTGGCTCCTCCTGGCAAACTTGAGGCTCCTTGTCACTCATGTAACTAGATGCCAGCAGGGCCACTCCAGCTGTCCTGCCCAGAACTGGGGCTCAACATCTCTCTTGGTTCACCCTAAGTAACTGCCAGAGTTGGGAATAAGGGAGTGAGATCTGCAGGGCCAGAGGTGGGTTTGTGAGCTGCTGTCTCTAGGTAGAGAATGGGCTGTTGCCTCAGGTGAGGTGGGGAGGAAGACACAGGACTGTTCTGACCTGCCCTCTCACGGGGTGGTAACTGGGAGGCCACTGAGCTGAGGGTCAATGCGGTGGTTCTGTGGCTGGAATTTTGTCCTTGAGGTCTAGGGCTAGGCTTTTGTCAAGAGATGGATGGAGGAGATACTGTACCGAGGGGTCCTGGCTCTGAGCAGGGAAGGAATCTGTAATAGAATGATTTCAGTTGGATAAGACAAGAGCCCAACTTCACCTCAGCCCAGCCCAGCCTTGCAGTGAGCATGGATCTTCACTGCCATCCCTTGGCTCAGTTTCCACCTGTGTTCGATGTCATTTCTTCTCAGCCAGCCTCCTCCCATACGATTGCAAACATCTATAGCCCTTCCCTCTAGTTCAGCCTCAGGGAAAGGGAAATTAGTGCGTCTTTCCTATTGGTCCAGCCAGAGTTACAGCGTTGATTCTCACTGGTCCAGCTTGAAATTTATTCCTGGCCTTGAACTAATTATTCAGAAAGGTGAATGAAATACACAGGTTGGTTGGGGCCAGCAAGTCGAGTTGTGGTTAAGATGCTGGACTCCCATATGGTTAACACAGTGAGAGGAGGTGGCAGGTGGCATGGTAGTTGAGAGCACTGAACTCCCATATGGTTGACCACAGTTTGAGTCCTGGACCTAGGGCTTGCTTTCTAATCCCCCCCCTCACTTTGTGTTTCTCTGGTAAAATTAAAATAAACAAATAAATCAATAAAGTAAAAAAAAAACCCCACAGTCAGAGTTCCCAATTTGGTGGCTTTCTCTCACTCCCCTCCCCAGCGTATCTCTGGTCAAATTTAAAAAATAATAATAATAAATAAAATTAATTTTTTTAATGAATTATTCAACTTTATTATTTTTTTTTTTCATTTAACCAGAGAGGGACAAAGAGTGAGCGAGAAAGTGAGAAAGCAAGCTGCCAGGTCCAGGACTTGAACTGCGGTAGGCCATGTGGGAGTCCAGCACCCTTAACCACCATACCACCTGATGACCCCAATTAATTTTTTTTAAAGGAAGAAATAATGCAGATTGGCTAGGCCTAGTTTATGTGCCCAAACCTGGAACTAGGGAGTAAAGTTAGTCCTCCCAATAGGCACATGGAATGAGAAGAAAGAGGAAGGATGTCTCCCAAGGTCTGTTGGGATAGCGAGAGGAGCATGTCCAAACCGCAGGTGTCCTCTGACATGAAGTCAAGAAGTTCAGTTAGAGAGAACCTGAGTGGGGCTGCGGTCCCATAGGGATCCTGGGGGCTCAAGTGTAAGCTGAAGGCAAGGCCAAGACATGGATCTGGTTGGCTTTGGGGCATGGGCACCATCCAGAATGAAGATGTCACCAATCCACCTTGATAAGACACCCTGGCCTGAGGTGGTGGCAGATCTACCTCTGCTCTCCCACCACCGCCCTCTGAGCTCTTTTCCTGAGAAGGCTGCGGAGGGACAGTCCTTGCTGCAGAGCCACAAGAGGCTCTTGGGAGATGGTGATCTCCCTGTCCCAAGTATGTCAACTAGTTGAGGCTGCTGTGGAGGGGACAGCTGGGCCACATGGGCTGACTGTCTGCACCTTCAGGAGGAGAGATGGCAGCTGAGTCAAATGAGCATGAAGAGTGGGTGGGCAGCGCTTACCTATTTCTGGAGTCCTCGCTGGACAAGGTGGTCCTGTCGGATGTCTACGCACACCCGGGGCAGAAGGTGGTCATGTACAAGGCTCTGCAGACTGCATTGGCAGGTGTGTGTGTGGGGGTGGGGGTGGGGGGGCTTGAGGAAAGGAAGTGGTGGCTGTGGGACCTTTTTTAGATGGGACTGAGGCTAGAGGGCCTGGGCCGGGGAGTTAGGCACTTTAGGGATGGGGAGGGGGGCACAGGAAAGGCGCAGAACCCTAGCTGTGTAGGCTTTGTCTGCTCTGCTTATGGCACGTGTGACCTTGAGTGGGCTCTGTCCCTCTAGCTGTGTACCATCTTCTCTCTCCTCTTTTCCTCTTGGCAGCGCTCCTTGCCCAAGACCCCTCCCCAGCACCCACCCTTCCAGGTCTCTTTTTTGTGTCTTAGGGCAGAGGCTATAGGAGATTGAAGCCCCTTGTTGGGGGGGGCTCCTTCTGGGTCTCAAAGTGGTGAGAGCCTTTCCCCTTCCCTGCAGCGGTAGCCGCATTTGGTAGAAACGGAAGACCTGAGATCCCCTGCCCCTCCTCTGCCTGGTCAGCCGCCTGGGCAGACAGCCTGGCTGGCCGACATCTGCCCTTCTGTGCTGCTGAGCTCCTCCCTTTTGCCCACTCTCTGGTGGACCTTCAGCGATGGGACTCAGTGGCACCCATTCTCACTTGGGATGCTCCCAGTGATAGGTCCTAGGCTTCTTTTCTGGGTTGTTGCTCTTTGCATTCCAATTTTGTTACCCATCTGCGTATTCTGGGGTAACCCTGCACCCAGGTCAGGGGATGGGGACGGGTATGATCACAGACTTCACCTCTCTTCTGGCTGCTTGGGAAATGGCCCCGCTTGGGGACCGCTCGACCCCTGACTGCCAGCCTCCGCAGAGATCGGCGGGAGCCCGGATGTGCTGCAGATGCTCAAGATGCACCGCAGCGAACCGCAGCTGATTGTGCAGCTGCGGTTCTGTGGACGCCTGCTCTGCGGCCGCTTCCTCCGCGCCTACCGCGAGGGGGCGCTGCGCGCCGCATTACAAAGGTGCTTGGCGGCAGCGCTCGCCCAACGCTCGTTGCCGCTGCAACTGGAGCTGCGCGCTGGCTCGGAGAGGCTGGACTTTTTGCTGGCGGATGAGGAGCGCTGTTTGAATTGCATCTTAGCCCAGAAGGTGTGTCCCGGCTGGAGTCAGAATGGGACAGGGGTGGGGGACTCGCAGCTAAGATCCCAACTGACGGTGCACTCCCTTTCCTAGCCTGATCGGCTCCGGGACGAGGAACTCGCTGAGCTGGAGCATGCGCTCCGGGACCTGACATGCGGCTCAGGCGGCCAGGGTGACGACGTGGAGGTCACTTCGATTGCTCCACAGTCCCTGGTGCCTTCTCCGTCGGAGGAGAAGCCGGCACCACCATCTGGCCAGACTTTTCTGTTCCAGGGTCTGCCCGTAGGTGAGGCACATGCGGGGTCACCAGGATGGGTTTTGGGGAAGAGCGAGGGCTGGGCCAGGTGGTTGCAGGGCAGGAATGGGGAAGTCCCGGGTCTGGGGGCCTCTGCGCTCATTCCGCTTCTCCCCTTCCCCCCCCCCCCCCGGG